CTGCTTCTCAAATAAATAATCAATAAATAAATAAGTAAAATTTAAAACATAAAAAAGCAAGCGGAGGCCTAGTTCTACTTCCAGACTGCATCACAGATCCCTGTGTTTAATGAAAAAGGACTAAACAGGTGCACACCATCATGAGGCCATTTCTATCCTCCCAGTTCTACAGCTCTAGGGATATGTGGCTCGGCTCCATTCAGCTTGCCTCCTGGTCCCCCGCAAATCCCACTGATCTGTCTGCTGGGAATGTTTTTAAGGTTTATTTATTTATTTGAAAGGCAGAGTTACAGAGAGGCAGAAGGAGAGAGAGAGAGAGAGGGAGAGGTCTTCCATCCATTGGTTCATTACCCAAATGACTGCAATGGCCAAAGCTGGTCCAACCAGAAACCAAAAGCAAGGAGCTTCTTCTGGGTCTCCCTCATGGGAACAGGGGCCCAAGCACTTGAGGCATCTTCTACTGCTTTCCCAGGCACATTAGCAGGGAGCTGGATTAGCGTGAAAAAGCCAGGACTCGAACTGGCACCCATGTAGAATGCCATACTACAAGTGGCAGCTTTACCCTCTATGCCATAGCACTGGTTCTGGGAATTTTTTTTAAGGCAAGAGTTCAGCCAGCACTGTGGAATAGTGTGTTAAGCTTTCACTTGTGGCGCCAGCACCCCATATGGGTGCCGGTTCTAGTCCCGGCTGCTGCACTTCTGATTCAGTTCCCTGCTAATGGCCTGACAAAGCAGTGGAGGATGGCCCAAGTGCTTGGGCCCCTGCACCTACATGATAGACCGGGAAGAAGCACCTGGCTCCTGGCTTCTAGCTTCGGATTGGTTCAGCTCAACTCTGGCCATTACAGTCATTTGGGGAGAGAATCAGCAGATGGACAATCTCTCTCTCTCTCAAATAAATAAATAAATCTTTTTTAAAAAAAAAAAAAAAGGGGGGCAGTTGTTCAGGATGTCCCTACCTGAGTAGTTCTGTTTACTTTCTGGGTCTTAATTTTCTCGGCTGTAAAACAGCTGCTGCCCAAGGTGATCTCCTATTAGCATCTCTGCTACTCCGGCTCTGTGCCTCTCTCGGCCCTCCTGAAGGATCCTGTGGCCCCTTTCCTCTGTTCCCCTATGGTTTAAAGCTCAGTATTTCTATGTTTTCTTCTGAGACAGGTTTACCAGTGATTGTAAGACCACAGTGAAATTGTTGTCCTTGCTGACTTCTCCTCTCCAGCAAACCTGCCCTCATTCTTTCTAAGCGTGTGCTCCATGCTGAACTAAGCTTCTGTAGCAGTTTCTCCGGTGCCTTGCCTGCACTGCATCTGCCCTTGCTGGCCCACATTGCTGGTTTCTACCTCTCTGCAGGTGCTCCCCCAAATCTTGGGAAGGATCCAACCCTGTCCCACTGTGGGTATTTCTTCACATGATGCCAGCTACACAGATATAATATATGGAAGCTTCAAATGTCATGCAAATTATGGAATATATGGCCTTTTTTTTTTAATTTGAGAGGCAAAGAGGCACCCAGAGACAGACACGATAGACATTGAAAGAGAATTCCCACCTGCTAGCTCACCAGGGTGTTAATCACTAGGTCAAATGCCTACCCTCTATTAAAAAAAATCTTTTAACAACCTACTGTGCTGTTTGATAAGGAAAAATGAACCTATAAACAGAAGCCAAAGTGAATCCTAGTAGTATTTTGGGGTGAAAAATGTTAAAGTTACTTTCTTTATATACTATCTTTAGAGGTACACATAGAAAAAATAAAAGTAATATTAGAGCTAAAATTAAAGCTTTATGCTCAACTTGTGTCTTTCTGCACAGACTGAGAGAAGCCAGAAAGGGAGATTAATGTCCTTGCGTAGCCACGAGTGCTCTTTTATATCTGGGATATTTCTGAGATTTCATGATGAGAATCAAACCTGTCTATATGTCAAAAGCCAAGTATGACTTAAGGTGGATGAAACAGCCCAGTGGATTCCTTTGGGGACAGGCAGGACACCGCCACCACATTCCAGATCCCAGGTCAGGACGGCAGAAGGCATGAATTTGATTCTATCGTTCTTCCCCCTACCTTCTCTCCCCACTTTGCCCCCAGCCTGCTGGTCCTTCCATTCCTTTGTAGTGTTCTACTTCAGCTAGACATCGCCTGTGCTGTGGACTCATATGCAAGGTACCTGCACTCCAGCAAGGGCTTTGAAAAAAATCAAAACCTTCCACTCTTACTATGTCTATTACCAAAATAATAAATACAGATATTTCCAGCATCAGATGGAGGGAGGCCAAGGAGAGAAGGAAGGGGTCAAGGACGAGGGGCACCCCCAATCTTCTGGCACAATTCTCACAGGACTGCAATTCTCAGCAAACAAGGACACGGGTTTGGAACTACTCTGAGCTGCTCACAGAATCAGACTGGGCCTGTGAGGAGCAAGGGAGAAGGACTGCAAGACGGAGTGGCAGATGAACAGTCTGAAGACCACTCCCACAGGTTCTCCCATGGCTAACCACGCCCTGGTCCACTGAGCAGCTGATACGTAAGGTTATTTCATTAGAAGAAGCATGAGCTGCTGGGGGAGACAGTTCATTGCAGCCCCTCATTCTTTGCTTTAAGTATGAGTCAGCCTATTTGTTTCGCGCTTTTGGCTTCATTTTAGGGAGCAGATGTTTGCCCTCCTCTTACTTGAGCTGCTAATCTCCATAATTAAGAGTTTTGAAAGAATGCTGGAAGGGCTACAACCTATTTCTTGGATAAATTTATATCTGTGCGTGGGAAACGTATTTCCTTCCGATTACTTTAATTATCATCTAGAGCAGCAGCAGCATTTGTTTAGCATTTACATTTTAACCACAGGCTTCACTTGAATAAGACTGTGGAGACGGTCTAATGGCTTCTTTCAAACCGGTCTCTTATTTTTACTTCCATATTTGCAACCACTGAATGTCCATGGGTTATTTTCAAGTGTTAAATGTCTAACTCCGACTCAGCTGAGGCGGCTTTGCTCTGTTCCGTGATGTTTTAGTGACTTTAAATCAGGAACAGCTTCATCTGAAATCAGGTAGACCCACTGACCCTCTTCCACACTGAACTGATGTCATCTGGAACATGGGGCCTCCAAGGTTGCTGTGGAAGGAAAGTGAGAGTAGGAGCACAGGAGGTCGTCTCATGGACCAAGACTTAAAGTCATTTGCTTCACTGTCCTCCCAAATTCTGTTGAGTAGACTCACAGCCCAACCTAGCTACAGGGAAGCCAGGATATGTAAAAGAGTAGGTGGACATTTTGTAAGCACTGTTAGTTTTACCACTGGACAGAAACAGGCATTGTGGTGGAGCAGGTTAAGTCACCACTTGAGTTGCCTGCATCCCATCTATGAGTGCCTGGAATTGAGAGCTGCCTCCCTTCCAATTCAGCTTCCTGCTGATGCACACCCAGGGAGGCAGTAGATGATGGCCCAAGCCCTTTGGCCCCTGTGCCCATGTTTGAGATCTGGAAGAAGCTCGTGGCTCCTGGCTTCAGATCCGCACAGCTCTGGCAATTGCAGCCATCTGGGAAGTGAACCAGCAGATGGAAAACCTTTTTCTCTGTCTCTCCCTCTCACTGTCTGTAACTCTACTTCTGAAATAAATAAACAAAACCTTTTAAAATAAATAAGTAAAATAAATAAAGAGTTTGTGTGATTAGATCAGGCCCACTAGGATAACGTTCCTATCTTAGGATCAATGGGGACTTTAATTACATTTGCAGAATCCCTTCACAGTAGTAAGATGTTAAGTATTTGAATAACCAGGGGCCGGAAATCTTGGGGATCCATCATAGAGTGAACAAAAAAATTCCTTAAAATTCAAGCAATACCAATAGAATAATTCACTTATGTATGAGGACAGGAGAATGCCAAAGTCAAATTTAGCTTCATACTAATACAGTATGTATAGGAGATCTTACAATATCCTTGCAGTTAGATGAGAATAACAGAAGGGCTTTGAGAATTACACTGAATTCTTTACTCAAACAGTGATTACTAATGATTAATTGCCAAAGAAAATGGTGGAAAACAGCATGTCCTTGGAGTTGGGGGCATTTGGGCTTTTGTGCTGAATGTAAGATCACCTAATAGATTAAACACTCACATACACACTTTTATTGAATAAATGAATAACTAGCTACATGACCTTCAACCAGTCAACCCCTTTTACAAGTTTCTGTTTGTCAGCAATATGAATGTTGCATTAGGAGTTCTGAAACATGCTTTTATCTCCAAAAATCTCAAGGGTAATAAATTACAAAAGGGGGTTGTGGAGTGTACTTTTGCAAAACATCACACAGTTTTCATCTTCATTCTGCCCTGCTTAACATTTTTATTTATGATTTGGATAAGTACATTTTTAGCAATTTTGTAGTTGAAACAAATCGGAGAGACACAGCTAAGCGACAGATGGCAGAAATCAATATTGAATTAATGACAAAAATCTGGAAACAAAACACAAAGAAATAGCCGATTCTTTGACTAAAGAAACATAGTTGATAGAACTTACAACATATTCTTTCTTTTAAGATTATTTATTTATTTATTTATTTGAAAGGTAGAGTCACAAACAGAGAGAGGGAGAAACAGAGAGAGATCTTCCATCCGCAGGATCACTCCCCAAATGGGTGCAATGGCTGGAGCTGAGCCAATCCAAATCCAGGAGCCAGGAGCTTCTTCCAGGTCTTCCACACGGGTGCAGGAGCCCAACACTTGGCCCATCTTCTACTGCTTTCCCAGGCCATAGTAGAGAGCTGGATCAGAAGAGGAGCAGCCAGGATAGGAACTGGCACCCATGTGGGATGCCGGCACCACAGGCAGAGGCTTAACTAACTACGCCACAGCATCAATACCACAATATATTATTTAATAAATATAGTATCAAAGGTTGGACTATGGCTTCCAGACCAAGGTCCAAGACTGAAGGTCAGTTTGTGAGCTATGAGTCAGCCCAGCTCAGACGGTTGGGGGTCCTGCTGGGACACAGCCGGAATGTCGCCTCCCTCTTTCCTGAGTGGGATCAGGGTTTCCCACCTGCCACTGCTCTCCGACTTGTTATTTCCTTCTCGGTATGTCCTGCCCTCAGAGGAAAATTTTCTTCTCAATGATCTCAATGGAATGCTTTTCTAAGGAAACTGTTAAAGATTTTTTTTATGATCATATTAGTAGAATGGAATTATACCTGCCATGTTGTTGGTGGGGGAGGGGTGAATTTTAAAGTCAACATGTAAAAGTCAAAGGTCCTGTAGTCAAAGTTACTATTGAATGGGGCGGGTGTTTAGCCTAGCAGTTACAATTTCAGTATGTACTATACTTGAATGCCTGAGTTCAATACCTGGCTCCTCTCCTGCTCCAGCTTCCGGCTAATGCAGACCCTGGGAGGCAGCAGTGATGGCTCAAGGGGTTATTGTGTTCTTGTCACCTGTGTTAGAGACCTGGGTTGGGTTCCCAGCTCCCAGCTTTGTCCTATCCCAATCCTGGCCATTGCAGGCATTTGTGGAGTGAAACAGTGAGTGGAGCTCTCTCTTTCTCTTTCGTGTGTGTGTCTACCTGTGTCTGTATCTCTGCCTAACAAATAAATCAAAATTTGTGAAAAAGTTACTATTGAACGTTCTGTAGGAAGAGAATACGTTGAAGATCAACCTGTGGAGATGTGGGAATGCCAGCCTGGATATTCATTCACTGTTTGAACAGACAGTCGCTTCTTCCATTAGGCACCAGATGAAGGGTTGGCTTGCGTTCAGGTGCTATACTGCACCAGAAAGCACACATCATAAACATGAAGCTCACACTGAGCACAGCCACAGGCTCATGCTGTGGCCACTTGGTTTTGAATTTCTGCTTTGTCCTCACTCTGGAGGAGCTATTTGTTGAGAATGTGACAAGAATTTTTTGCAATCAATATCTACCTATCTACCTACCATCTATCTCAAATGTACCGCTGATGAGGTACATCTGTCTGTACTGTACAGACACATAGGGAAAGATGGCAGAGTGAACTATTTATGGCTCTACTTTTAATTCCCTATAAATGACAGCATGTATTTGTTTGTTTATTTTGTATGAAAGGCACACTCAGACAAACAGGGTTCTCCCATCTATTGGTTCATCCCCCTCCAAATGCCTAGAACAGCTGAGGGCAGGAGCCAGGAGCTCGATCCAGATCTTGCACGTGTGTGGCAAGGATCCAAGCACTTAAACCATCACCTGCTGTCTCCCAGGTTGCCTGTTAGCAGGAAGGTATAATCAGGAACATAGCTGGGACTTGAACCAGCCACCCTGATACGGGATGTGAGCATTCTAACCAGCAGTATCTGAACTGCTGGTCCAAATGCCTGCCCCATGAAGTTTTAATGTGCCCCAACGTGGCCACTGCCTGTCTCCCATTTCTGCCAAGGAATGGACGGAAGAAGCAAATGCCCTCATGCCCAGAGGTCTAGCTATGGGCAATTGGACCCAGCAGCACATCCCATCCCTCTCTGGCCACCTTTGCAGATCTGCTATGATGTAAAACAACACTGAACTCAGTGACTTGTAAATAAATAAACAAATAATGATTGGGGCCGGCGCTGTGGCCTAGCAGGTAAAGCCACCACCCGCAGTACTGCCATCCTGTATGGGCTCTGGTTCTAGTCCCGGCTGCTCCTCTTCTGATCCAGCTCTCTGCTATGGCCTGGGAAACCTGTGGAAGATGGCCCAAGCCCTTGGGTCCCTGCACCCATGTGGGAGACCTGGAAGAGGCTTCTGGCTCCTAGCTTTGACCTGGCTCAGCTCTGGCCATTGCAACCATCTGGGGAGTGAACCAGCAGATGGAAGACCTCTCTCTCTCTCTCTCTCTCTCTCTCTCTGTAACTCTGCCTTTTAAATAAATAAATCTTTAAAAATAAATAATGATCAAATTCTTAGGGAAAATTCATACAGTGAAGTATATGCTAAATTGTTCCCAAATTTGGCAATTCAAAAAAAATTAGTGTCTTACATTGATGAGAATGTGGAGAAATAAGTATTTTTTACAGTACTGATAGGAATAAAATTACTATAGAATTTTCTGTGGACCATTTAGCAGGATTTTTTACATTTTAAAAGGCACATATTCTTTTAAGCAAGAAATTTCTCAAAGAGAAATTCTCACAAATATGCACAAAAAGTTCTTAAATTTGTACAGAAAGAATATGTTCAAGGCCGGTGTCGTGGCTCACTAAGCTAATCCTCCGCCTTGCGGCGCCAACACACCTGGTTCTAGTCCTGGTTGGGGCACTGGATTCTGTCCCGGTTGCCCCTCTTCCAATCCAGCTCTCTGCTGTGGCCAGGGAGTGCAGTGGAGGATGGCCCAAGTGCTTGGGCCCTGCACCCCATGGGAGACCAGGATAAGTACCTGGCTCCTGCCATCGGATCAGCGCGGGCTGCAGCGCGCCGGCCGTGGCGGCCATTGGAGGGTGAACCAACGGCAAAAGGAAGACCTTTCTCTCTGTCTCTCTCTCTCACTGTCCACTCTGCCTGTCAAAAAAAAAATAATAATAATGTTCAAGAAATTTCATTGTGGCATTACTTACAGTAGCAAAATAAATAAATAATGAAAAGTGTATATGGGGGAGAAATTACCTAAATGACCATCAACAGGCAAAAGACAAATTCTGATATATTGTCCTTACATGTATCATGTATGTATTGTTATATGTATTCTGTATGGCATGTGTTGTTGGCATGTATAGCATATATGGTGTTATACATGTTGTATATGTTGTATGTATTGTGAATGTGCTGCTGCGTGTATAATATATGTGTTGCTATATGTATTACATGTGATATATGTTTTGTGTGTTGTTATATGTATAACATGCATGTTGCTGTGTATATTACTTTACTAGAGCTGCCCTAACAAAACGTCGCAGACTGGGCACCTTAACCATTCTGGAGGCTGGCAGTTCAAGTGAAGGTGTTGGGCAAGGCTCATTTCATCTGAGGTCTCACTGCTTGACTGTAAGTGGCTGTCTGCCCTGTGTTCTCACAGGGTTTTTCCTCTGTATCTGGCTGTGTCCCAATCTCCAATTCTTATAAAGACATTAGCTTTGTCTGAGCAAGGTGCATCTGAATGACCTCATTTCGATTTAATATCTCTGGAATGTCCCTATCTCCAAATACAGCAACACTGAAGTTTAGGAGCTCAACATATGAATTTGGGAAAACAGAATTCAGCCCCTAATACTATGGAATGCTATGCACCAGCTAAAAAAAAGGGCTATGTGTACAGACATAGAGAGTTCTCCAAAATATGAAGTTAATTTAAAATGCAGTTAATCTGAATTACTCTTAAGACAATATTTCTTTTTGAGACCATAGAAACTATCTGGGGTAGAAGCTGAGCTAGCAAAGTGATCAAGGGGAACTTTGCTTTATATGTGTCATTTGAATCTTTATCAGGAGAATATATTCCTGAATTATTTGTGAATTCCCCTCCAAAAACCACCAAAATGAAAAGAGACAAATGCATGCTCAGTGTAAAATTAGCTTCAGGGATATAGACAGTAAGGAAGGAAAACCCTGCCCTTCTGCCTTCACTCAAGGCACAGTGGTGACTGGGGGGGCCCTCACAGATTCTTTTCTATGCCTGTACAAACATGGACATGCACACAGACAGAGTCATAGAACCATACAACTTATCTTCCAAGCTGGAGCACTTGCAGACGTGGTGCAGGGCCCCTGGAAAGATTATGGATGGACAAAATTGTTATGGGGCTCCAGTAATCATTAGAGCTGAGCAAAAGGCACATACCAAGACTGTCCCAGTGTGAAAGCTGTCATGATCAAGAGACACTTAGGAAAAAATCTAACAACCGAACGAATAACTCTGGAAGGTTTAGGGAGGAGGCGTCTCAGGGAGGCATGCATGATGACAACTGTTCACAAGAGACTCCGCTAGAACCACAGCTCTGCATAAAGGACCCTGCAAGCTGACACAGAGCAGGCTTTGCAAGGACTGACCCTGCCAGTCCCAAGATTATTGCTTCAAAGTAACTTAGGCAATCCTCCTAACTTTGCCTTTAAACACTTTCCTAGGGTTGAGCACTTGATGCAGCAATTAAACTGCCGTTTGCAATGCCCACACCCCGTATCCAAAGTGCTTAGGTTCAAACCTAGCTCCTCTGCTTGCTATCCAGTTTCCTGCTTATGTGCACCCTAGGAGGCAACAAGTAATAGGCCCAAGTATTTGGGTCACCACCACATATGTGGGAAACCCGGATGGAGTTCCAGCTCCTGGCTTTACCTTGGCCCAGCCCTGGCTCTCTGCCTTTCAAGTAAAATGAAAAGAAAGAAAAATTCCCATGCCTCAGTCTCCTTCATAGTTTACTAGGGCACCCATACTCCTGCTGCAATGTTCATTCCCAAATGAACTTCTTAATTTGTTGCAACTATTTCTCTATCACACAGGTTGATACCAGCAAACTTGAAAGAAAGATCTCTGCACCTAGAGACGCTTTCTGCTCTGCATAAATGAGATTCTATTATCCTTGTGGTACTGGAGACAAATTTTCATCAGCTTCCCCTCTTGGGCATTCCTCTTCATCAAGACAGGTGGCCTAGCTATCTCACCCTTCCCAATGGCTGTGTAATATTTCATGGTGTTGATGTACTACAATTTATTTAAGCAATCTCTTATTGACGAGTGCTTTTTAAAATTAGTTTAAATTTGTTCTTTTGTTTTCAAGAAAGTTATGCTTGCACAGTGTAGAAAAAAACCACCTCATTTAGAAGCTTCTAGAATGCAAAGTTATAGTCTGATCCTCTGGTTCTATTTCACAGGGCTCCTGATAATTTCATAGCTTAAAACTATCTGGCAGTGCCACAGCTCAATAGGCTAATCCTCCGCCTGCAGCGCCGGCACCCTGGGTTCTAGTCCCGGTCGGGGCGCCAGATTCTGTCCTGGTTGCCCCTCTTCCAGGCCAGCTCTCTGCTGTGGCCCAGGAAGGCAGTGCAGGATGGCCCAAGTGTTTGGGCCCTGCACCTGCATGGGAGACCAGGAGAAGCACCTGGCTCCTGGCTTCGGATCAGCGCGGTGTGCCGGCCGCAG